TTGATTGAAATATGTTTGACTTTGAGTTGACTTATTTTTGTTAATAAATTCTTGTATTTTAAGAAATTGTGTGAATTCATTCCATGTGTGTGCAGAGTTTTGCTGTTCAATAATGTCAGAGCTTGGCCCACCCTTTTGATTTGGTCCTATTACCACTGCCTTACTAGGCTGGTATTCACAGGATAACCCTTAACAGACCGAAATATTATTTGATAAAATATTTAATTATTAATATTAAATAATATTTTCAGATTCATAGTCACAACAACAGTAAAGCACCATCTGAAAACTACAGGGATCAATGCCCGAACTCGTTGGCATACACCGCAACTGAGCAAAAAGCACAAGTAAAGTAAACTAAATAGGCCAAAAAGGTTTCCAGATTACGATGGATGAGTAGGAAGAGTAATGAGGTATTTGTAAAAAACCTACAGTGAAGCATGGTAATGGCAAAGTGATGCTACCTCTGACACTGAAAATCTAACGCTTGTGGAGGGCAAAATAAATTTTGTTAAAGGTGACATGCAAAATCCACTTTTTTAGCCTTTAAATACATTTTGGTGTGTACTTGGAATCTGTAGGAATGCAAAAAAGTTCAATTTAGTCTCTCCTGGTGTTGCGGCGGTATCTTTATATCTGTTTGGGTCATATTTTTCTGTCCATTCTGTTTTCTATATCATCTGTTTGAACTGTTATGTCATCATAACAGCAGTAGAACAACTAAATAGCACCGTGCCTTCTGCTTATGTCAGTGCTGTGTGCTGCTTTTAGCTCCTTGAGGACAGAACTGTACTACTTGTTTTGAATAAAATTACATTAACAGTTTTGAATTGTTTTTGTTGTTTTCGTCTGGATTTTGCGGCGATGGATAATTGTTATCAAACTCCAAAAATGGCTGAACGCGTTAAAGTGCAGCGTTCTTTGACCTTCAGGGGGGTGGGGTGTGAAGTGCCTCAAAAGCATTTAAAGAGACCGCACCAAAATGAGTTGATTTCAGACGCACCTCAGAACAGGGGTAAAAGAGGACCTTCCCACAGCTGAATAATTTAAGGGTGAAAAGGAAGAATTTAAAATCATAACACGTCCCCTTTAAGTATTTTAGGAAATCTTGCCACATTGTCTGTGAGGATGCTGAAGCTTGGATTTCAACCATCAAACAGGACACTGATCCCAAGCATATCTCAAACTCCATAAGCCTTGTTTCAGAAGCCCTCTGGGATGATACAAGAGTGGCCATCAGAGTTGCCTGACTTGAACTCTACTGAAAAATCACTGGTGGGATTTAAAAAAGGCAGTTGCAGCAATCAGACCCAAGAATATTAATGAACTGGAGTCCTTTGCCCAACAGGAGGGGGGAAAGATTCCACAGGAGCTGGAGTCTGGCTGTGAATCCCATTTGCAGCAGGTCAAAACATCAAAAGGTCCTTTACTAAGTACAGAAATACTTGTCACACGGGGGTTAAACAATTATGAGACTGCAGTAGTAATTAAAAGTGTCACTGGTGTTTAAAGTAGAGAAACCACTTGTAATATAATAGGATTGGGTTTATTAATTCATTCTTATCTGATTTGTTTAGCGCAAACAGCTGCTAGTTAGTATATTTTGTCAGTAAACCTAATTAGCAGGGAGGGCTAACCATTTTAGGTGCAACTGTAAATGATTATTCAAATTGCTCTTGCTAAATATACAACTGAATGTAGCAAACAGTTTGACACATTAAATTTGAGCGCAGAAACAATAGTTTGAGGAAGAAGCATAGCATATTTGTGGACAAATAGAATTTTTAAGAAAGTACTTTGTTTGTTTGTCCTGCAGTTTACATTTGTTGCTTATATTTTCTGTTTTAAGCATCAGTTCAGGATGACCATGGAGATCTTTTCTCAACCAAAGGCAGACAAATAGGCTATCAGGGCTTCACGCTGCAATGGGTCAGCTGTGTTAATTAGCAGCTAAACTAAAGCAACTCCTTAGCTTCGATGTATGCCAAAAAAAAAAAAAAGAGTGTGAGTAGAGGTGAAAACAAATGTGCCTTTTCTATAACTAATTGAACTGAATGTAATTTGGGCTGATGTTTTTAACAATAGACGAAACTGTAGGATAATTCATCAGATTGTCATTGAAAGATTTAAACATGACTGTAATTTGCACTTTCTGTTTTTGCATTTCATATTGGTTTTTGAGAGAACATCCTAATAATGACAAAGGGGTTTAAGTGCAAAACATTTAAGTGCAAAACTCCAAACCAAACATCAGAAATTAGATTCAAATGTTTCACTTATCTGGATATATCAATGGCTTCCAGGTTGGCATTTCAACTTGACTTTGGTAGTCATTGTAACTCAAACCTTTTGTCGAGATGTATTCAACGAAGTCACTTGTTAATGTTAAGGGGGGACAATGTAGGGAATTATTTATCTTAAGCCCAGTGGGGAGGACACTAAATATTTTACATGCTCTGAGATGTTTGGTTACACAAGCCCATGGTTCCGAAATGCTGAGGTGACACTATTCCTGGATCCACACAGAGACCCCAACTTAAAGATGTTTAATGTGTGTAAATGATAGTGTCATCTTATTTTGTTGCAGCTGATCAACTAAGAACAAGAAACCTTAACAATGTTTTTTTGGGCTTGTTTGATTAGATTTCACAAAGTGAGGGTAGATGAAGATGCACCCATAAATGGTGCTCTTGGTTTTCATCCTTATATAGGTTCAGCCGATTCTCTTATCATTGGTTTTGCAATTATTTTAAATTTGAGTGCATACTTAAAATCAGAACATCATGTAAAAGAGTTGACTGAAATGTTCTGATTTTTAAATTACAGTTAGGCAGTGTACATGCAAGTCATCAGTATTTTACTTGCAGTAGATATCAGTCAGAGCAATTCTGGTTTTGTGAATAGGGGAGAATAGGGCTGTTAGTCAAACTAAAATGCACTCTTAAAAGAGCCAATTTAGGAGGATCTGCTGATGGCTAAAACAACATAAGCAAAAAATTATTTTTAAGCCATCAACTCATATAATGTGAATCACATTTAGTTGGTCATAGTAGATGGCCACTCACACTGAGCCTGGTTCCGCTATAGGCTTCTTCCTCTTAAAGGGGATTTTGCTTCTCCACTGTCGCTACATGTACGAGGGATTGCTGCAAAGTCAACTGCACAATGCAAGCAACTGCCCACTGTCTCTACATGCTCATCCAGTAGGAGTGAATGCTGCAAGTCACTGACTCGATGCAATCTGCTGGGTTTCCTTAGAAAGAAAAGTTTTTGACCAATTTGAAAAATACACTTTATGTGACTGCATTGTTTGATAATTAGGATCAATTTGAATGTTTGTACTTGACTTGAAATCTGTATGATACGAATCAATTGACTTTGTATAGCGCATACAACGTGTTGTGAATTGCCGCTAAATAAATAAACTGAATAGAATTGAATTTAGATCAGACAAAATTTGTCCAGGATATGGTGATGCTCAGAGAACATATTGAGAACAGTCTTAAATAAATGATAAAATATACTAATGATATAAGCAATATATGGTGTGAATATTGCCATAAAAATATATAGTTTAAGCACATCAAATTTCTAATTATGCATTTTACAAAGTGTAAATTCACTTCTAAATAGGTTCTGCTATTAGCAGGTAACTTGGCTCATAGTCAAGTGAAAGTCAGAGTTTGTTTTTATAGCACATTTAAAACAAAAACCGGTTGAAATAAGGGCAGCATGCAGTTTAAAAAACAATAAATTAATCAGCAATTATAAACAAGATAAACAATAAGCAGATAAAATAATCATTCATAATACTTAAAAAAAAAACATAAAAAGTTTGTATTAAAAAAATCTTTGCACAATCCCATATTAAAAAAAACAATTTTTCCTTTATTTTCCCAGGAAGGTAAACATTCCTCCACTGAACTTCATGTCAATGCTGCAGACCATAAATGAACACACAGAGGCAAAAAATAACCACAAAATCTGCTTTTTCTGTTATCTAATGCCGGCAAAATATTTCACAAATGCAGAGAATTGGATGGTGATTGGATTTCTGTGCTTGTTAAATGAAAGGAGACAAGGACAGGTCGCTTTTTAATGAAGGAGAGGAGAAGCGTGCTAGAATGAAAGATGGGAGAAGCAGGGAGATCGATTTATGGTGAGTTTAAGGGGATTTAGTGATTCACGGGCAAAATAAAAAGAATTAGATGGTCACTGATATGAAGAATGCAACTGGACTGTTTGTAGTGGACAAACCTACATGGGGCTATGCACACATATTGTAATAACTGTGAGGTCTGCTGTTGTTCTGTTAAAGAGATTTTTGTATCTATAATTTTAACACTGCAGAACAAAAACTCTCAGGCCTTTAAATTATTTAAAATTTTTGCAATCATATTACAGTGTCACTCTTGTTGTGGAGAATACTAAACAAACAAAGAAACGTTTTATTACTAGTCAGCACCTTACCTCCTGTAGACATGTAGACAGCACTGAAAATACAGGGAAGATTTTTTGACAGGGATGCTAGGTTAAGTGCTTCTCAGAGAAGGCAACCAGAGGATCTGAACATTTTTATTTTGTTTGCAGCAAATATTGTTGAATTCTAACCTTGGCATGACAGCATAACACAACCACATAATGTGTTGCTTTCTTAGTTATTTCAGTCTTTGGAAAGCCATCTTTGAAAATCCTTCACATACATGGATATTCTGTATTTAAGAAGATGTAGAGTCAATCACCAAGCAATTAAATATGTTTTCAAAAAATATAAAATGAAATGGAATTTAATTGGGGCTGCACGGTGGTGCAGTTGGTAGCACTGTTGCAGCAAGAAGGACATGGGTTTGACTCCCAGCCGTGGGTCTTTCTGCATGGATTTCACATGTTCTCCCCGTGCATGTGTGGGTTCTCACCAGGTACTCCGGCTTCCACGCAGAGTCCAAAAACATGCCTGTTAGGTTAATTGGCCTCCCTGGCCTTGGGTATGAATGAGTGTCTGCATAGTTGTTTGTCCTGTATGTCTCTGTGTTGCCGTGCGATGGACTGGTGACCTGTCCAGGGTGTACCCTGCCTCTCGCCTGTAGACTGCTGGAGATAGGCACCAGACCCCGTGACCCACTATGGAATAAACGGCATAAAAGATAAATGAATAAATGAATGAATTAAATGAAATGAAATTTCTCTTGTCTAGATAAAATCGCTAAAGTAATGTCCTTCTTTAGATGTTAGAAGATCAAACAGGAGTTAGGACGGGGCTCTGATGCCCCGGCAGCATGCAGACCTCCCCAAGAAGTCAGTGTAACTCCTTGGTCAGCAATATGTCTGTCCATCAGTATTTATCCAGTCTCCATGGTAACCAACTGTTGCACTGGCCCATGAGTACTTCCATTTCAGCTTTATGTTTTCACTCAGTTATATACCACAGCTTCAGGATACCTTGCAGCAGGCTCATTGCTTTGACATCTTGATGGAAGCACGTTGGCTGTCAGTCGCTACTACCTTCAGTATGATTCAGACAGGTTTCTGTGGAAATAAACAAAAAGACAGTAGTCTCTTACCCTCGGGTGTGCTGTATGTGTACGTGAATCTGTTAACAATCCATCTTGCTATCCAGGGCACCATAATTAGCGGGAAATGTCAGTGGTGTAAAAGTGCAGCCTAGATAATAGGAACAACACAACACAAAAAAGTGACATCATAAAGATAAATAAAACAAACTGTATTTTTATTCTATTCATTTGTTTTCCATCACAGCCAAGTACAGTGCAGGTTCACAGGGGACAGGTGCCCGACAACAGTAAATAGGCAAAAAGGTAATATACACTTAGAATAGATCACCAGTCCTTCATAAGGCCAACATAAGGCCCACTGGATGTGTTTTTCCTATGGGTTACTAAGTGTTTTTACTCCAGAACTAAATGTCCTCGAACCTTCTTATCTTTTAGATCCTTCTCCTGCAGGGGTGCTGATGTGATCAAGGGACACAGGATCTCTGTCCAACACAACACCAGATACCAGATACCAGAATGAGTTTAAAAATGGTGAACAATACTGCATTAATCTCAGAATGTTTAATAGTGGTTATACTTACAGCACAAACTGCAATTTCAAACTGTATGGAAACGTGTAGGTAGAATAGATTTAAGATGACTTGTGCCAATCCCAACACCTGACAGTGGGAAAAAAGGAAAAAGAGCTCTGATCGAGTTTACAATCGACTACCTATAGACATTTATGATAGTTTCAGGACAGTTAAACTCTGAAACTGAATTAAAACAACTTATAACTCAAATAAAGTTAGTAAAGATCCACAGATCATTAATAATTAAAGCCTGTGAGATCTCTATTGGGAAGAATAGCCATATACACACAATAGCTTCTGCAGCAGTGTCTTCTCCATTCTGTATTGCAGAGCATAAACTCTTTGTGATCAATTGTGGATTTACCAGTTAAAATCTCGTAGAAAGGCTTAATGAGAGAGTTATGCTCTCTGTGTCTACAAAATTCAGAAAGCAGAATTAAATATTTCCACTAATAGTGGTGGAGTTTATCACTGCATTTGAATGTAAACTCTGTAAAACACTGTGGTGTTTATTATGTTTGACTTGGTTTAAATGCTGTGTTTGCGAACAAAAATCAGAGCTCCTTTCGTGTAATTTGATACAAACCTCCACCTTTAGTGAGGGTCATTCCAAAAAAGTTTTACCTCTCTACCAGGGCTGTTTTTAAAGCAGGTGTCTACCTGCTTTTGTCTGATTTGGCTCTGGTTCCTGGATGGGGTAGAAAAAATGCCCCTGAAAACTACTGTGGTTCCTGAAGAGGTTCCTGCAATAGAAATACACCTTTTTAGATCATTAACCCATCAGCCCATGGCCAAAGGTATATAAAATGGCATATTTAATAAGACTGCTTCTCAGAACATTTGTGAAAGAATAGGTTATTTAAAGATTCTCCCAATATTATGGGAATAGTTTGAGTAATTGCCCCTTTCTGCTCCAACTTGACTGAGCACCAATGTCGGGTGTGGAAGAACTTGACTGAGTCCTGATCCCAACCTCATAGAACACCTTTGGGATAACTTAGAGCAGATAATGGAAGTCGTGCCTTTTCATCCTACATTAGAATATATCCAAACTCACAAATACGCTTCTGGAGGTATAGTCAAAAATTCCAAAAAAGCTTTCCTAGAAGTGTTAAACTGTCATAGCAGTAGGGTTGGACTGACATCGGATTAAACTGTATAGATTGAGCATGAGATGTCAGTCAAGTTAATAAGTGTTTGAAGGCAGATGAGCGAACACCTTTGGCAGTCTAATGTATCTTTAAGATTTAATTTTGTATTTCCAGGTCAGCTTGTATTTAAATACAGTTGCACATTTCTCAAGAGAAACTTTAAATCTGGCTTGACCGAGCCATTTAATCTAAGTCTGCCATAAATCTCGGGTACCTTGTGACCACATTATACGCACACCCTTAGAAGGTGTCTGCAAGTAGCAGATAAAACCTCTGAGAAAGCAACAGTGGAAAGGGAAAACTACACAAATGCACCCTGGCAACCCAAGGTCGATCCCCTGACCTTGAGCCATGAGCCAAACTGTGGCATGAATATTAATGGCACAAATCTCTGGGAACTCAAGGCAAAGGTACATGTGTCTATGCATATATTATAGGGATAGCAACTAAAATCCAAATCAAAACCACACTAGCTCTAAATCAGTGCTGACTTCCTCTTTTGATGCAGCACTTTGTGTTCCTCTAAACACAAAGTTCGAAACATGCAACTTTAGTAGCCCCATGGAAGAGAGTGTAAAAGATTAATAACCAGAGTAGCTGTCCACATCAGCAGAAACGATGAAGTAAGAAGGATTACCTGCAATGACTGCCGCTGAGTAGATTTTGAGTGTCCCAATGGATGTATAAAGCACCACTTCTTGTTAAGTAGTGTTTAACCACACTTCTAAATGACAGTTCTTCTCATTATTCACAGCTGCCAGTGACCTCCAACACTGAGCTGCCAGCTTTTCCTTGGTCACACAGCCAGTACTGGCCGAGGAACTGATTGATGATGTCCAGTGAGATTCAGCAATATACCAACTCGCATACCAAAAACACTCACACACTTTTTTCTGTCCTAGACACAATGGGAGTCATTTGAAATCTATAAAAGCAATCCATAATTTTAATTAAAGTTGAGTTATTCATTAGGTTTAATTTAGAGATCTTTGATGTCACTACGAAAGCATATGTGCATCCTCAATCTTCATTTTAAAAATCCTGAGGTCTGTATACCTTTGGATGAAGCCATCACGGGTCAATACGTCAAAAGTTTAGATTAAACAGATTTAACCTTTCACTCACTTTTGGCATTTTAATATCTTCCAATTAAAGTGGAACCCTCTTATTCTAAATGTTAGGGCTTTGAAAGGTTTACAAATGTGAACATTTCATGATCGATCTATTTTACTTTTTCTTGTTTCAATAAAACTGACCAGAAAATAATAACCTTACATGTCACCTTCAAATACACAGTAAATGGTGTTTTTCATACAGTATAGACAAGGGATTGAGGACCAGTGTTGTGCCAGTTCACAGTTAAAAAAATCAAGCACAAAGTTCAGTTCACAAACTTAAAAATGAACCAATTCAAGTTCATTTGTTACATTAAGCCACTGTCTTACACAGTAGAACCTCTTCTTAACCATGCCAATCAAATGCGCAAATCACTGCCACTCCAAAACTAATCAATGATTGTACCAATGAAGAATCACAGACAAGAGATAATTATTACACCCAAGAGAAAAATAATGTTTAAATAGAGAATATATTTCACCCCTTAAATAATGTGTGATCATAATATGTAGAAAGTGGAAAATGCCAGGTGCAGTCAAGGTATACTGTTTGTGCAGTAAAACCTTTATTAAGCCAGTCAGCCGCAGATTTCCCAAGATAGCTTGAAGTGGATGTGGCTGACATACGTACTTGTTTGGTAAGACCGGATGGGCACAGTTTGCACAAAAATGTGTGTCTTCCTTTGTTTGTACATAAAACTCTGCCAAGTGCTCTGTAAAACTGGCTTCAGCAATGCCAGTAGCAGAGTCTGAAACACGTGGACTAGTACTAGCAATGGAAATGAGAATGTTTTCAGTGAACGTCATTCATTGAACGCGTTCATGCGCAACCCTGTTGAGGACCATGCCATTTTTCAAGCGCAAATCTTTCTAAGTTAATAACACTTGCAAGGATGTTTTGCTCCTATGTTTTGTTGCAGAAATCATAATGTTTACAGCAGTTGTCTGCACAACATTGACTTAAAGACAGTAAATCTGAATTTAAAATTAGAAATAAAGTTGCTCTTTTAGATTTCAACATACAATGCATGTTCATTATATTTTAGCTTTTGTTTTCCTTCATCAGCCAGACAACTTCCCATAAAAGTAACATATTCCAGTGGTGGGGCGGTGGTTATCTGTCCACATATTTTATTATTTACCTTTTGCTTTAAGTTTTGGGATTTTGCCCACAGAATAAAATCTAAAAATAAAGATATGTAAAATGCATAAAGTGAATGGGAGATTATGACTATCTGAGGGCATCAGTTTGTTCTTTAACAATCCACAACTATTATTTTTCATCATCCCACTGGAGTCTTCATCTCATTCTATGTTCATGAGTAACTTTATTTATTCCTCTTCACAGTGTAGACTATTAACAAGACTTTTACTAGCACTCATCATTGCAAGTTCTCCCTTACTAAATTATGTTTCTGCGTTTCATTTATTTAAAAAATGCTTTTTTCCAATGCTTTCTGTACCATCCAACCTCTATGTCAACATAGGTAGCTCCTTATATACACCAAGGGGATCTG